GGTACACTGTGCTTACCCAGGCTTCACAGTAGGATCTGGCTTTTTTGTGATAGTTATTTAGCTGCACTCAACTGTGCTCAGCCTGTATTTAATATGGTATCTCTAAATGTACAGTACATGGTTTGTACCTTTCCCATTAGTCTTTATTAGGTTGTTTGTTTTTCAACCCATTTGGGTTGAAGCATATATGGTCTGTGATACAGCAATAGTGACAGGATTGTTGCACTAGCAACATGGGTTTTCACCCTATTTGTGTTATGCCCCATAATGTCCTGAGTTCACACTTTGTTAGGTCTTACTGTTTTGAGTCTAATTTATCCTGTTACGCTAAACTCCTTGATGTGAAGTCACCATACTGGTAGTTTGCTTTTGCTTGAACTTTGATCTCTCTTCACCTTTCCTTCCTGTTCAATTATTTGGCTAATTACTTTGCCTTTGTAAGCTTTTAAGATATGGACTTAGCGATACGGAGCAGACCTTATGATGAAGTAAACTTATTTTGGTATATACCTGTTTATCATACTGAGTTCTTTTATTTCTTGCTTAGCCATTCATTCCATAGCTTTAGTAAGCTAGTAGCCAGTTGGTTCTTTTTCCCCCTATGATATAACAGTTTGAAACAAATTGCACGGATGAAAACGGTTCAGTCATAAAGAAATCAAAGCCTGTGTCAGGTTGAGTGCGGGATGGTGGGTGACAAAAGCAGACGTTTGGAGAACCTGAGGACTGGCCCTGGAGTTGTGAGGGAGGAGGTCAGAATGAAAACTGAGACTGACTTCAGTGACTGACGTTTATTGACCCAATTAAGAAAACTTGTCAGGAATGAGATGGGGCGCAGGAGATCTGGATTTCAATATAAGTAAAACAATTACACAACAAGGGAAAACAAAGAGAGAGAGAGAACTTCTTGATTTTGTGGCCTCTTCCTGAAGTCAGCCAGGCAGAGCAGCGGTCGGAAGTGCGGCTCAAGCCGAGGCGTCAGATGAAATTGAGTTTAGAAGCGCAGCGCAGGGTTGGCCTTAAGGAAGGCCGTGAGAGCAGGGAGAGCTGCTAGCGGATCGCGCAGGACCCCCGCGAGAGTGGGGGGGAGGTCCTTGTCGGCCATGAGGGCGGCAAATTCCAAGCGGTCCGTGAACGGGCAGATGTCGAACAAGTGCGCCGCGTCCGCAACCGCCGCCCCACACCAACCAAGGGCACAAGGGCTGGAGGGCGGGGAAGAATCGCGACAGCAAGGCAGGCGTGGTAGCGTGGCCAAGGCGAAGGCGGATGGCAGTGGTGATAGTGCGGCGGGGCGCAAGAGCCCGGCGAAACCAGGGCCGAGCAGGCGGGGTGGCGCAGAGAGATGCTTCCCAGGGCAGGTGGGGAGGGTGGCAACCACGTCCCATTCCGCTGCGCGAAGTGCGAGCTGCGCCTGGCGTTGCTGTCCATACAGGAGAGATGGGGGCACTGCGATGAGGCAGGGAACACCCTCCGTCCGGGCGATGTTGGCGGCTGCGTCCGCAGCCTCGTTCGGCAGGATGTTGGTGTGAGCCGGGACCCAACACAACTGGGGAGGATCACCGCAGGGAAAACAAAACAGTAGCATATTTGAACACTAATATCTTTGGACCACAAACATTTGTAGAAGCGTAGTAGTCAGCATAAGTTTAACTGACTTCCAGAGAGTGGATGGTGTCTATGACTGCTCGCCATGCCGCTGTCCGCGCTGCCCGC